TATGACAATCCAGTCTCACTTAGAGATGTTAAACATAAGGGCCACAAATTTGTCAATGGAGAGTTGGCTACTGTCACGTGTCACCCTCTCGAAAACAAAGACATTATTATTATTATTATTATTATTATTATTTTTATTATTATTTTATTTTATTTTTATTAGGATAAGTATAGTAATGCTATGTATTGCATGTGTGGTCATGTGAGCACCAATTAGAGTATTGAAAATATATTTATGATACTAAATTTTTAATCTTTTGGTATGTAGAATGCAGAAGAATATATTACAACAGTTCCTGTCCCAGATTCAAACCTGGTTGGGTTTGTCATCGGGAGAAGTGGTCGAACTATTCATAGACTAATGAAGGACACCACAACTGACATTCGTTATGAAAATCAGACCAATACATTTATTATAGAAGGAGAGGCAGAAAATCGATATGCAGCAAAACTCAAAATAAAGGAAATTATTGTAAGTAAACAAGAGTGTCCTTCACGATTCCTCTAAATGATGTTTTAGGTGCTACTTGGAAGAAATTCTGTCCCGAGGGAAACCGAGAACAACAAAACAACTCACCACGGTTTGCCTTGTTCAAATTTTAATTGACCTATATTTATTACTATGGCAGAGGAACCGTGATAGAGAGCATTATCTGAAAATAGGATAAAAGCCGTTGATATATTTTCAATAGCTCTAAGTATGTTGAAGTAGTGAAGTAGTGGAGAAACCACTTACAAAACAAAGCAAGACGCACACACTCAAAAAGAAAGAAAGCAAACCTTCTAACACACTTACAAAAAGAAACAGACAGAATAACAAGACACACACTTTAAAACTGCAAGCAGAATCTCAAATGACAACCAAGATGTATTAAGCTTAATAAACAGAAAGACAGAGAGAGAATATCAAGACAAAAGTTTGGCGACAACAATGAACAAAACTAACCACAGCTTACCTTTTGATTATGTTCTTGTACAAGTAAAGAAAAAAATGCATTGGAAAAAAAAAATTCTTGTTCTTGTTTCTTTGAAGTTCTTCCCGCCTTTTTATCCAGTCAATTGTCGCGTGCGCGCAAGCATCACGCCACCTTGAAGTGATCACGTGCAGCACATGCAGCTTTCACGTGCTGGGAAAAGCAGAATATCTAAGACTACCCCGAATTGCAAGAGCGTTGTCATAAAAATTTAATAAAAAGAACAAAAATTTCAAGTAGGAATTAATTATTGTTTTAGCAAAACAGGAGTAATTATTTCACTGTTCTGAAGGTATAACGTCTGACATTATCACTAATACCTTGTTGTTATATATCTAAAAACAGTTTATTTTAATGATCAATCTAGAAATCTTTAAAATCAACATATTAAATATTATTTCCAATTAACTCATGAGTATTAACTTATAATTTTTTCGTCAGAGTAATGGCCTAAAAACTCAAACGGAAGACTACAAAGAATGTAGGAGATTTCCATTCGTTCATTCGAATGGTTCCGGCTTCGTGCTACAGCCCGTAGATGCGGATTATAAAGTTAAACTCAAGGATTCTTTCAATAAGGTAGGTTCATTCCGCTTAACTGTCTAAAATACTAATCAATATGTTCAAAAAAATATTTGTATTGTTTTAGTTATATATGTGTGTGTGTGTGTGTGTGTGTGTGTGTGTGTGTGTGTGTGTNTGTGGTGTGTGTGTGTGTGTGTGCGTGTGTGTGTGTGTGCGCGCGCGCGTGTGTGTGTGTTTGTTTATGTAGCTGTTTTGTGGGACAATCTTTTAATTACACTGAGAAAACTGCTGCACCAGTGATCGAGTCGGAACTATGAGTTTTTATGTCTGATCAACAGTTTTTCTGTTATTTTGTCTTCTTATACCCGTCCTTTTAATTCCTTTTTTTGTGAGATTTTTTTCATTTTTCGATCGTATCTATTCTATCGTTTACTGAAATGTAATCTGTTCTAAGGAGAAATATTTATTTATGAGTTTAAAATCCATGTTTATGTGTTTCTTTATTACTTCCTATTTTCTCGTTTTCAGGATCAGTCCAGCTACAGTACTGACTGTGCTAGCTTTTCAAGTCAAATGATCAAAGTTTTAGAGTCGATACATAAAGAAAGCGGCCAAAAGGAAGATGTGATACACAACATATGGTCCCACTTTGGACACATATATTTATCTAACGTAAACCATGGTAAGTGTTCTTTAATACTGAATGTAATGTTGAGCAATAGTCCCTTCTACTAGCATTCAAGCTAGCTTTACGAACAATCTAAGCACTTTAAGCTTACAAATTTGATTTTGAATTTTAAAAAATCGTTCTGAAATATATGGTGTGTCATTTTAATGCCAAATATGGTGTGCAAGTTAATTTGTCTTGTAACTTGTCAATGTTTGCGGGATCTCTGACTGTAGTCCATTCATACTGTTGATGTTGAGGCCGTGTTCATATTGTATACTTTTTGTTTTCTATTTTCATCCCTCCTCTTTAGCTCTTCTTTCTTTCTCTCATTTATTTCTTAATTCATTCCCTCCCCATGATTCCTTCGTTTTTGCACTTTCCCTGTCTTCTAGATTGTAACGCTTTTTTCCTCGCGGGTTTATTGGTATTTCGTTCCGTTAACTTGCAGTAGATATATGATGCTTTTTATCGTGTAAAACTTGATAACCTGAATTTTGAAATTCATCTGTCAATTCGAGCTCAAAACCTTTTTTTTTTTTTGGTTTCTCAGATGAAATAGCCACTGAGTTTGATGCACAGGAACTGCTGAGCCACGTGAAATGGGAAAACACTTCAAACGCAACAAAATGGCGAACAAAGTTTGTAGGAGGTATTGTTGACGAACTCGAATCCCACAACCTGATTGGATGGATGACAAATCAAACTGAAAAGGGTATTCCATTCATTCGTTACGAATTTGTGTACTTCACGCCGTCGTGTAGAGTGATTCGGGTAAAGGTTGGTATAGTCCAATGTTTGATGCAATCACTATTTACAATTTACTTTGTTGTCGTAAATCAAACTTGGGCAAAAAACGACAACAAACAGACAGACTGCGTGAATTGGATGAGAATGCTGGCAGGTTATCCATATATAGGCTGAAGTTATGAGAACGTTTGGCTCAAAAACCGGCTTTAGAAAAAAAATTGTCGATTCTGCAAAATTAATGTTTCAAGAACGGTTTTAGTATCTAGGTGACATCGTCAATCTTCACAATGTAAAGCAAACAAACTTAAACAAAACAAATAAAAAAA